ACTGAAAAAAAATATCACAGGTCCCTATATATATATATATATATATATATATATATATATGCAGCACAACTGTTTCCAAAATTGATAATAAATCAGAATATTAAAATGATTTCTGAAGAATCATGTGACACTGAAGTCTTGAGTAGTGGCTGATGAAAATTCAGCTTTGCATCACAGAAATATATCATTTTAAAGTATATTAAAATAGAAAAGCATTATTTTAAATTGTAGTAATATTTCACAATATTACTTTTTTTTATTTTTTAAATCAAATAAATGCAGCCTTGATGAGCATAAGACATTTCTTTAAAAAAACATTAAAAATCTTACTAATCCCAGACTTTCAAACAGCAGTGTAAATGTCTTATGGCACTCATTACTGAAATGTTACCTGTGCTACTAGAGGTTTTACTTAATGATTTGTGTTTTCGTTTGCAGATATTCTCCTGGGAAAAGACCAAGCAGAGCACATCCTTCCCACTCTGCCCCCTCTTTCGGTCTCTGTCTCTTCATCTCTCCCTGCCTCCTCTCTTTCCTCTCTTCCTCCATCATTCTCCTCCTCTCTACCTTCCTCTTTTCTTCCCTTTTTGGCCTCTGCAGGTTCAAACACATCAAGAACCTCATCTTCATGTGTTCCCCGCTCCAGCATTTCCTCTCTCACTCCCTCCTCTTCTTCCACAGTACCCTTGCCCTCATCTGGCTCTCTTCTGCCTCCTTTATCATTCTCTCTCCCCTCCACTCCTCTCCTGTCCCTTCATTCTAAATCTGCCAGCAGAGACAGCAGCAGACAAACAGGACTGAGTCCAAAGACATTTAGCACTGCAACCTCCACAATACAAGAAAAGACAGGTGAGACAGGCAGAGAGAAGCAAGTGACAATGTAGCTTCTGTATCTATGCATTCATGTGCAGGGCACAGTTCTACTCAGGGATTCAAATCACCATGAAATCAAAATGGACTTTTCTTATTTTTTGTTGGAACCTCCCGTGCTTATTGTGAATGATTTATCCATTCACATCATAATGTAAAAAAATCTTTAACCAAAAACATTAGCGTGCTATGACATCTCTGTGAATGGCCAGATGATTTTCAATCCTTCCCCTCCATGAAACCTGTCGCTCATGTAAAACAATTGTCCATTTAGTGTTCCACTTTCTATGAACCGGTCATGGACAAAATCAAGAGCCAATAGCCATACATCACAATAGGGAAGAAAAGTTGGTTGCATTTTCCTTCATGCCAGCTTTTAATTGAAATTTAATTTCGCCTTGCAAATGAGATCCTGTGATCCTTTACCATAATGACTGGTACTGCCAAATTTCTGACAATTTCTTGGGATCCGTCAAGTAGCAGGGTAACTTAGTTGATTTATTAACACTGGCTTCTTTTTGTAGAATCTCTGCCCAGTGAATAAATCTAGGCCACAAAAACACAAAGTAAAATATAATGTAACAGTGGAATATCTATTGTTAGAAGCTTAGTAAACACAATAAAAGCATTTTTCTTCTACTGCATTAAATCCATATTTTATCTGCCAACAATTTGGAACACAGTTCCAAGTCTTGATGTTTTTGTGCATGGTGCTGTGAGTGACACAATGACCTTTTTATTACAATTATAGACCCCTACTGAAAAAAATAATAAATGATTCAAATGGCTAAATGATTAAATTGACAAAAATATTATAGTGAAAAAATACTAGTAATGCAAGTATAGATATTAGTATCTCAAGAAATAGTGTTAGTATAACTGTCACTGAAAAAGGGTATGACTAAAATAAATTTTTTTGAACTGTGTTTATGTGCAGAATCTCTATTCAGCCAGGCTAAAGGCCTAGAAGGTCGAGGACAGAAGATGCCCCTGCCTGACCTAGATCTGGTGGAGATCCTTATCTGAAAGAGCAACCCTGGAAGTAGCAGTCCTACAGACAGGACAGCACTTAAGAAAGAGTGAGGAAGTGAAGAACAAAATATGAGTAAGACTGAAAAAGTAAGAAAGTCATGAAGAAAAATATGTAGTATATTGTAATGGATCACATACAACGGAGACAAAAAAGGAACGAAGGAAGTGCAAAGTAAAAGCTAGAATTCAGTATTGTGCCTCTAAAATGCTGAATTTGATGATTGATTCTAATGCTATTTCTGTCCATTTTTGACCCTAATCAATTAAGGACTATGATATTTGGCCGGGCCTATTTAGTTATTGAATGCACAATATCTTAAGTTGCATTCTGTTTTAGTTTATCAGCTGCCTTATAAGTGCATTCCACAAAGCTGTATATAATTTGATAATAATACAACTAAATTATTGAACTTTGTTGGTCTTGTGGCAAACTTGTGCAAATTAGCTTGTTATTAATGAATTTTACAGCAAACTGCTGTTTTGCCTCATGTGTGTTTTAACTGCCTGAAACAAACACCCCATGTTGTAAACCGTGTTCTTTGGCTGGGAATATTTTCGAGTCATGGTGAAGTAAGGTCAATAACTATAATGTTTTGAGTCAGAATCCAATGATGCATGATTGATTGATATCTACTTTAGTTTCAAACACCTGTTTCAAAACTGTCTTGTTAAAATTAAGTTTTAATTCATTTTATTTTTTAATTTATTATTATGATTATTATTTTATGACTATTATTATTATTTAATTATTATTTCTGCAATTTCCATGCTCCAAAAAAATCCAGTATTATTTTTGTGAAAGCTCTTGGGTAATCAGGTCAATACATTTAAAGCACTTTGGCCTGGATTACATCATTTTTTTTCGATGAGATGTTTCACAAAACTATAAACCATTTTTACCACATTATATTCACATATATCATTATCAAAGATAATTCTTTTATTTTTTTCTCCAAAAAGAAATAAGGAAAAACTGAAAGAATTTCACTGAACACCTTTACACAGAGCTCTCAAAATCAAACTATTCAGTGAAACATTGTGCAGATACATTTGACACAAATTAAGCACTATGTTGCAAACAGTCTGACACTCAGTTTACTACAGACAATATATATATGATTTGCATAATGTGCAGATGCTTTATTCAAAAATATTTAGGAATTGGTAATATGGTGGTAGTAACAGCATCTTAAAGGACAGAAAGTGAACCATTCTTGTATGTGCACTACTGTAAATGCAAGAAGCTGAGATTGTCCCATATAAGTGTATTTTGTGTTCTGGGCTTTTAAGCTGTTTTCTGGGGGTGAAAATGCTTATACAAGATGTTTAGGAAACCCCAAAGCAGTAATGTGTTGTATAGTTCAGTTGCTACACGGTGACGATTTACTTCTTGCAGACTATTGACTTCTTGCAGAATATAAAGGCTATATTCTTATGTATTCCTCTTGAGTTTTAACTTCCTCTTACTTGTGTTTTTGTGTAACTGTGCAACTG